GTATTGGAATTTAAATGCGATTCTGCCCGACCGCCCATCCCAAATATGAGCCATATCATCCCAGCTAAACCAGTAGAGGCTCTCGTCTTTCATCCCCCGCGAAAGCAACTATGCGCGCACATTCGTTCATCACAAATCCTACATGCGCAAGAACCCCTTTGCAAACAAAAACTGGACGAAATGCACACGCGCATGTCGTCGCGCGCGCATGCCATACTCCATCAAACACCATACGTTTCGAACGGATTTCAAAACCGAGCGCCCCGAAATTATTCCCTACCTAGGCTCTGCCTAGAAAGGTTCTTACTTTGTTGGCTTAAAAGGGCCGGGCAGTGGGGCTCGCCCCGGGCGGTTCCCCCGGCATCCGCCCCGCGGTTCCCCCAGTTACGTCCCCTTAGCTTAGCGTTGCTTATCTCATCTTAGCTTAGCTTATTTTATCTTAGCTTAACTTAGCTTCATCTTAGCTCAGATTTATCTTAGCTTAGCATACAGTTCATCTTAGTTTCGCTGAGGTTTAGCGTAGCAGGGCACATCATAACATAGCGTAGCATAGCATAGCGCAGCACAACATATCATAGCATAACCCAGCATAGCATAGCATAGCATAGCGCAGCATATCATATACTAGCATAGCATAGCGCAGCACAGCATAGCATAGCGCAGCATAGCATAGCATAGCATAGCCTAGTCTAGCCCAGCATAGCATAGCATAGCATGGCCTAGCATAGCATAGCAACGAATGCTGCTTTCCTAGGGGTTCCAACTTCTAGGTCGGGTCGCACTGGGGAAATTCGTTTCAAAAATACACAATTTCGCAACACGCATGTTCAAACAACAATTGTGCTCGCGTTCTTGCGAATTCTGCTACCAAGTGGGCCTCTCCCGCGCATGTCGGAATCGTTCGAACGCCCCTGCGCGCGTGCTGTCTTTAAAGAATCCATTGCGCAAGCAAAAACAAGACGAAATGCACACGCGCGCGCCGTCGCACGTGCATGCCGGAATCCTTCCTTCAAACACCCTTGGTTTCGTGAGGATGTTGAAATCGAATGGCCCGGCCTACATGAAAAAAACACACATGGTTCTGCAACATCGGTTTGCGATACAAGCTGCGTCCATGCGACTTTTCAAAACAACCATTGTCGTTCCACCGTTTTCATGATATTCAACTAAACGGGCCTCTCGCGCGCGCATCTCGACATCATTCGAACGCCCTTGCGCGTGTGCCGGGGTGGGGGGCGCGATCCGTGTCAAATAACATCATGCGGGCCACTCTCGCGCGTCGGCCGCGCGCCGCGCATGTCGAACTCCTTCCGAAGCCTTCACCACCGACGCGGGGACGCCGTCATCGTCGTCGGCGTGATCAGCATCGGCGCCGTCACTGGCCGTGCCGTCATGTGCCGTCACCAGCGTCGCTACTATCATTATCGTGTCTACCGTTGTCGGCGTTGCCATGGTACCGCGTCCGCCCAAGTGGCTGACTCGCACTGAAGTGCAAGCTGGGAAGTGCCAAGCGGTCAGCGCCACCGCGGCCGCGGCGGTCGCGCCAAATTAGCTGGCCGCTGCGCGCGCGAGCATGCGCGGGCTAGCGCGGCCGCAGAGATGCACCAGCCAACACCAAGCACTCATCGCAATCGCCGCCGCATGCGCTTAGCAAAACAAGTTGCGGGTGGGTGAGTGGGATGCTTGCGCGAGCAGTGGGGCTGACAACTGCGAACTCCACTGCGGATCGACCTCCCCGCGCGGACTTAACGGCCTGCCTTTTTCTCTTTGTTTTTCGTGTGTAATTCTGCACGCCTGTCCATAAGAAATGCGAGCGTATACTGTTGCGCAGAGCGAAGCGATTATGCTCTGTGACAATATTATTGACCTTTCCTCCGCCAATTGCAACGCGGGAGAAGCGAGGAGAAATTCTCAAAACAATGCGTTGGCTCGCGCTCTTGCGAACTCTAAAGGAAGCCACGTGTTTCTCAAAAGGGGCCCCAAACCTCCAGATCCCGGGGTTCTGGTCTTGGGAGGTGGGAGGAAAAAGGGAGTGTTTTTTTTTCGCGTTTCCCGTCGACTAACAATATGGGAGGAGGAATGCACATAACCTCAAGCTGACATTGCTATGACATGACTAGGGGGACATCAGCAAATCACGTGGTACACAGGCAGGCTGTCATCACGACGTCGACAGTATTCAACTAACGCACAGTTGACCATTCATGCTTACATTGTTAGCATGCGTGTGTACATGGATGATGCGCACGTACCATACACCACAGCACACTTCATACAATCATTTGGTACGGATACGCATCATGAAAGCATACGTAACGACTACATTATTGTGCCGCACCTTTACGTGACTGACGGCGCAAGACTACAATCAATGTTCTTCGCACAAGACGAGAACACAAAACACTAATCTGCCACTGATACACGAGGAATGCATGCGCCATCCGAAACTATGGCATAACGCTGGCACTTTCAAAACGCAAGGGCAAACATGTAATACAGAATTTACGCGTGAGCCCGGCTCAACGCCTGCTTCGGTTTAGCGCAGAAGTTAAAGATGGCAGAAGAACCACCAGTGCACCTCCAGGACACATCATGGCATGCTGAGTGCCCACTTACTGCAAACTTCGAACATCTTCAAACCACAGCTTTTACGTAGTAGCGGTTATGCAGCAAGTGCAGCATCCCCTGGCCGTCTTGCAGGCCATGTATGCGAGCCCCTCCGAGGGAGAACACTTGCATCTAAATGCTCTGCGGTCGGTTTACAGTCACGTTTGGTGTTGAAAAGATTCGGGGCGCTTGCTTGCCTTTGCTGTCTTCCCCGGCCCGCCGGAGAATCACCCACTCTGACGATGAACAGCGCATCGAACCGTGAAAAATGTGATTGACGCACTGCCGAGAGGGGCCCAACACAGCACCACGGACCCAAGAGGGCCCGGCATCAGCCCAAGACAGCCCCAACACTACGGTGCTCGAAGTGTCGCCACCCACAAAACTGAGATGCCACGGTGACTGGACTTGCCGCAGGCACCTGGATTGAATGAAATGGTCAGTCAGCCTCCCTCCTCAGCCGCCTCTCCAAGGCCTGAAGGCGTGGCAAACCCATTATATTCAGATTCATAAGACATTCCGCTGGAAAAAAAAGACTGCCTCCCCGCATAGCTCAATACTTGTCTTGCCAGACGCTGGACCCAATGCACTCGGGAAGGGACGGAGGGGAAGGGGGGAGAGGGGGAGCAATATGGGGGAAGGGATGATGAGAGGGCGAGAGGATGAGGAGGAGGAGGAGAAGGAGGAGGAGGAGAAGGAGGAGGAGGAGGAGGAGGAGGAGGAGGATAGGAGGGCGAGGGGAGGGGGGAAAACGATCCCCGACCGCCCCTTGACCCCCAGAAACGGAAGAGTAGGAGGGAGGAGGAGGGATGACTAGTTAGGGGGAGGGAAGACGCGAAGGAGGAAGAGGAAGGATATGAGGACAGTGCGGTCGGGGGTGAGCGAGAAAGAGGAAGAAGGATGGGAGGTTGAATGAGAGAGGCAGGAAGATGGTGGAGAAGGGGGGAAGAGGAGGGCCAACACATTCGAGGACGTGCTCTCGAGGTATGCGTTACTCATTAACTTCACAAGGAGCATGACAGAAGCATGATTCTGGTTCGTTGGCCCTGGTTCTGTCGAGGCGCAGCGGCAACTGTTCAGCGAAGCCGCGGGTCTCATTCACTTCGAGGCTCGTGCCGTGCAACGCCAGCTGGTTGTGACGTCCTAGTGCAATCACGTGGGTACGCTGACTTGTTCCACAGGCTCAATGCATCCAACGATCACTGCAAAAGTCGGTGCGTTGAGGGGAGTCTTTAAACACTTGCGGCACACAATGCTGCAGAGGAGCTCTGTTCCGGTTGAAACACGGCTTGCGTTGTGCCAAGGGGTGGTGTTCATGCGTGGTCTTCTTCACCAGGCGAGTACATGGCCCCAGTTGCACACTGCTGAGCTGATCAGAGTCCACGCGGCTGTGATGCAGGCAGGTGTATTCATCAGCTCTGAAAAAAGACTCGAATGACCTTCGTTGCCCGTCGCACCAGTCCATTGCTGAGCACGAGTGCTTCATCGCATCTGCGAGCATGATCTTGTGCATGCGAGTTGGGCTGTTCAGAAGAGTGTGTTTGAAGGCCCCGCGAGCTCTGTGCACTGCGCTGTCCCACACCATTGGGGTTCGCAGGTCCTGGATGCATGCTGTTTCTGCAGAATTGGACTTGCTGAGTTCGTGTTCTGGTTCTTTTTCTTACAACGACAAAACTCCCATACTTAGGATCATGGGTTCCTGTGATCCGTTCCAGTCCGAGACGCTGCAGAACGGCGCTGCAAGACGGCAGGCATGAACGTGCGCTTAACGAGGTGAGGACTTGGGCCAAAGCCCGGCGGATGGCCGAAGTGAACACCACTGTCTCGTGTCATTCTTGTTCGCACGCCTGTGGATCGAGGCAGACACTGGCCACCCATGCTTTTTCGGTGCATGGTATACTGCGCCGCACGCGCGACCCGATTCATCTCATCAATTGTCCTGCGTGCATTCTGCTATTCCATGCTCGCGTGAGGGTGGTGACCCCTTTGGAGGAACGTTTGGAACAATGCCGTGCTTTATTTCTGGCGACTTTCAGCAAGTTGCCGGTCGATTTCATTACCGACCTTGATCGGAAGGACGCCAGGGACACCCGCGAGCGAGCCAGAAAAGGCCAGAAGCCACATCGATGGCGCTCCGGCCGGTCAGTTGGAAGGACCGTGAACTTTGGAAGCGTCTGAGTCTGGCTTGAGCCATCAATCTACCCCCTCTCCTTGTCTCTCGCTCTGTCTGGTGAGCCAGGGGGCGCTGCTACAACACTGAAATCCTCTCAAGGAGGGTTCACCCGTGAACTGTTTCCTTGTGCCTACGTTATACGCGTTTCTCCCCGCACGCGCACGTTCCAAACTGCTCGGAAACAGAACGATGAGGATGGGGGAAAGGAGGAGGACGACGAGGGGGAGGGGGGGCAGGAGGACGAAGGAGCGGAGAAGGAGGAGAAGAAGCATAGGGGCAGGAGAGGGGGGACGAACTGTTCCCGACCGCCCGCACCGAGCATGCGAGCCAGCCGCCCGCGCCGCAAGAGACCGCACGGCCATAGGCAGAGCGGGCCCCAGGGACAGCGGAGGAAAACGATCACGGCGCAGGAGGGCCCCCGGCAAGCACGACGGCACCACGAGTGCGCTGTCGTGCCCCTTCACAGCTTGCAGGCAAGATCTCCCCATCGCCGTCGTCGCCATTCTCCTCCTCCTCCTCCTCCTCCTCCTCTAACTTCTCCTTTTCACGCTGGACCAACGTAAGCATCACGGCTGTTGCGTTCACCAAACTCCTCCTCCTCCTCCTCCTCCTCCTCTCCTTTCCCCTCCCCTCCCCCCCCTCCTCCTCCTCCTCCTCCTCCTCCTCCTCCTCCTCCTCCTCCTCCTCCTCCTCCCTCTTCTTTCATCCACCCTCTTGATATTCCTCATTCACCTCACGGAGACCTGCCCCCCCCCTTCACTTCAGCGTAAGTCTCCTTCAGTTCCCCTGGGTGCCAGGAAGCCTGCTCCATGTCCTTATTGATCCAGCCTCATTCAGGAAGTCATCGTCACCGTCGTCCCCCCTCTTTCGCAGCTCCTCCTCGCCGTCGTCCTCCTCCCCCCCGCTGCGCTGCGTTCCGATGAGTCCCTGCGGCCTCAGGCTCGCCAGGGGCCAGAGAGGCCCCCTCCCTCTCCCTCCCGACGCCTCCACCCTCTCCTCCTCAACCATCTCTCCTCCCTCCTGCTCCCTCCTCCCTCCTCCCACCTCGCTGCTTCCTCCTCCTCCTCCTCGTCCTCCTCCCTCCCTCTCACCCGGCCTCCGCGCCCTCACGAAAATGGCTCGTCCCACCTCGCTTTGGCCATGGGCACCACCGTCTCGGGCTGTCACTGATTCCCCGGGCAGAGAGTGGGCCCCCTGGCCCTCTCTGCTGCTCTTGTGTACAGTGAAGCTCACAGACCAAGGCTCTGTGAGCCTGGTGGGATCCATGAACACGTGCGGGGACTAGCACAACGAGGAGGATCTCAACAGACTTGCAATGCCTGCGGACCCGTTCTGAGGGCGGGGACGTCCAACCAATCCAGCATGCTGCTGTCGCTGGACAAGCCGCAAGTAAGGAAGTTTACGTAGTCCGCACAGTCCTGGTACCCCTGGGGCGCGGCGTCCATGACCTCAGCCGGAATATGCTTGCATCCGTGCCCCAGGCCGCTGTCCCAAGCGTGGCCAGAGAGTCGATCGCGTGCGAGATCTGCGCCATCAGGAGTGGCGAAGTTCAGCAGGGCGTGCCCCATGTTCAGGGTCAGCGCGTCCCCAGTCGCCTGCACGCGCGGCAGGTACACGAAGTCGCACCCCGAGAGCAGCCCCAAAGCGTCAAGCGTCCACTTCAGCATGTTCTCCGTGTAGTGTGCTGGCACGTTCGCGAGCGTCAGCGAGGTGGGCCTGGGCTCGCTTCCCAAGCTCCACCCCGCCGTCGGCGGTGAGCCACCGGCCCAGGCCTGGGGGGGTACCAACGCCCCGCGGGTGCGAACGCCCCGCCGATATCATATCTGCAGGCGTTTGCTCCAGGCGGGAGCTTGCGTAACACGCATGCGGTAGTGACGAGCATGCAGACAGCGTGGCATGAACGATTCTACTCTGCTCTACTCCACTCTATATTCAGATTCCAGTCTGCCCCATGCTCTGATCTGCTCTGCGCTACTCTACTGTAAACCTCCTGCTGCTCGTGTCAGGATAGGGCCTACACATACATACATCTATACACATAGACCTACGTACACCATTTGTCCCCATTCTACTCTGCTCTGCCCTGCTCTGCAGTGGTCTACTCGACTTGGCTCCATATTGTCTGCTCCCTGCCCGATGCTCTCTGCTGAGTGCCCTCTGCTCCCGCCTCTCTTCTATCCAGTACATGGTTCCTGGCGTGGACACCAAGCTGTGAGCATCGACGGGGCATGCCCCGGAAACGGCCTCGACGCCCGCTCTGCGGAGAACCTCCCAGCACTAAATCGGGCATGTCCCCCTACAGGCGGATCTTTGGGGGAACAACAATTTGTCAAACAATACTCGAGCATAGTCTAAAACATGCCAGGAAAATCGTCCCCGGACTATGTTTCGACTTTTTGTTGACTATTCCTCCTCTAGAGGGACACGCCCAGCAGCAATTCGGCTACGAGCAGGACTGACCCTAGGCGCGAGAAGCCCTTGGCGCGCGGCCCAAGCTGGCCATTGCTCGGACGTCCATTCCCCGTGTTTTTTTCGGTTTCGTGCGTGGTTTTTCGCCAAATGATCAAGGATGCTCCTCGATGGTCCTCGCCGAAGGAAAAATGCACACGTCCGAGCGATGCCAAGCAAGGAGAGGCCCTTTGGGGACATCGCCAGGCGCGCAGGCGCCGCTGCCATCGTGTCGCCATCGGCGATCGGGGGGCCCCACTGCTGGAGGGTTCCAAAAGGGGTTTTTTGGGGAGAGGGGGTCTTCCAGGCGGGGTCCCCCGGGGGCTTCGCACCGCCCTGTTTTGACGAGGCTCTGAGGCCCCTGGGGGGCTCTCAAGAACCCCCCCCTCCCCCAAAACCCCCCTTTGGAACCCTCCTGGCACTGGGCCCGCACCACAAGGTCACTCCAGCCAAAGGTCACTCTTGCGTTAGAGGCCTCCCAGATGGGGTCCGAGCAGATGGGGTCAAAGGATCGCGCCGCATCGTCAATGCATCGCCGGTGCATCGCCGGTGCATCGGCGATGCATCGGCGACGCATCCGCGACGTCGGCGTGGGGGAAATCGGGCTCCACATCGAGACGCATCGTCGATGCATCGACGATGCGGCGCGATCCTCCGACCCCATCTGGGAGGCCTGGATGCTTATGTTGCATCCTCGGGGGACCTTGTCTGTCCCGTCGCGGCCCTGTCCGCATCGAATCCGTGTCGAATCCATGTCGGACGCGCCGGATCCGTGTCGAATCCATGTCGAGTCCGCGTCGAATCCACGCCAAATCCGCGTCGAGTCCGCATCGAGCATGCGTCGGGCCCCCCAAAAGACACCAATTTTTGGGACAGGCGAGGTCCCCCGAAGATGCAACAGAAGGATGCGTGTATCCGAGCAGCGAGGCACGCCCATCCCCAGAGAGCTCGAGGCAGCCCCCGCGCAGCGGGCGAGGTCGGCGCAGGGGGCGAGGCGAGGACCCCCTCGGGTGCTGGGGGGAAGGCGCCAGCCATACTGAAGGGGCCCAGGGACTCACAGAAATAAATACGCACACGCATCCCAGGATCCCCTCATATTGTTCAATATTTTTGGGGGAGTTTCGTCTTCCCCCCCCCACTTCCCATATTTTCGTATATTTTCCTGGGAACCAACGATGGATTGTGTCTATATGTGTGTTTTTTACCTCCTGACGTACCCCGCACAGGGCGGAGGGAGGGACAACGTCTGGCGGAGAGCCCGGGGGGGAATTGAGAAGCAGCGGGCCTTCTCAGAAGGCTCGGAAGTCTCGCGGCCTTACGAGAAGTTTTCTAAGCCTTCCCCGAAGACAGAAAACCTCTCGGAAGGCCGGAGGCCATCTGAGAACCCCCGCCGCCTTCTGAGAAGGCCTTCTCCTTTTCGTTTCGCCCCCCTTGCTCGCCGCCGAGACATGCCCGTTTGCAGCTCGGCCACACGCACACTCACACGAAGCGACGCCCACCGATGGTGACACCAAACCTCGGACGCCGTGATTTATCGATGGAGTTAGCTCCGGAGCGCTTTACGGTCGGACCAGGGACAAAATAACATCCTCCAAGAACATGAGACTCTCCGCTGGCCAAAGCACACAGAACATCCAAGTGTACTACCGGTACCCTCCCCTAGGATGCACGAGAACGTCCAACAGACAAGAAGAGAAGTAGGGCACCCTCCCCGAATTGACCTCGATCTTTTACCCGGATCCGACCACACCGCATCCCTGGGACCAACTTTTCGCCGCTGGCCGCTTCCGGCTGGCCCCAGGGCCCGAACTTGGCCCCGGGGCGCCAGGCTCGCGAATCGGAGCGCTGCTTGCGCCGTCGACTGTCTCAAGGGCGCTGGAGGCCTGACCCCCTCTTTCCCCGAAGGCCGCCTGCACGCACGGAACGAGGAAGATCCCCATGAGCACGCCTGCGCTCTGACTCGGGCCGGTGTGCGCACAGCCATCCCGCGAGTGGACCTCGGCGTCCTTCGACTCGCCGTCCGTCGAGAAGGCGGCGGCATCCTGAGAGCAGGCCTCCACTGTGCTGTAGGCGTCCGAATCCTGCGAATGGGCAGACGTCAGGCGCCGCCCCCGCTTCTCCCCCCCCATCCCCCCCCTCCCCCCCTCCCCCCACCCCTCACACACATGCGCGCAAGGTCATCAGAAGCGGACCGTTCGGTGAACGGAACCTTCTCCCCCAACTTTGTGGGGATAGAGGGAAACAGGCCAAGAGCGAAGGAGCAGGAAAATGTACGCGTGCTCCACCTTCCCCCTGAGCCTCGAAGCCCCGAAGGGTGCTACGCGCAACGCACACGCGGACGCTCGCGCAACAAGCAAAAGTGCATCGCATGGTGGACCGAAGAGACGCCACCACACGGAGCCAGGCCCACCACGACTGGGAGAACCCGCGACCAGCAGCCCGAGCACGAGTGGCCTGGACCGCTGGATAAGTAGCACGCCGCTGCGGGTGTGGTGACGTGCCGAAACAAAACAGGCAGGAAGATGCCCATCCAACATCGGAAGTGCTCGCCACAGGCTGGGCAGAGAGCCTGCGCGGCCAGACCTGGCTGTCAGATGGATGGGCAACGGTGCCAGCGGATGAAAATACCACTGGCACCACGTGCTGCACGCCGAGTGGCGAGCAGCGACCCGTTGGCCCGCAGAATGCCTGGGACGCGCGAGGCCCCGCATGCGAGGCACGCCCATGGGCGGCACCCCCTGGCAGCAGGTGTGCGGGGCTGGGCCAACCGGAATCTCTGGATTCGGAGGAGTGGGCCTGGCTCCCTGGGTCGGGGCACAAGCAGGGGCCCCGTCTTCCTCCCGCCTGAAAACCCGACGGGCTCTGGCAAGAGGGCCGGGTTCCACTGCAGCAGCAGCAGCAGCAGGACGAACAGAAGGACCAGGGACAGGAGAGGCTTCTGCTCCCCTTCGTTCGGGCCTCCCTTCCTGGTGCAGTTGTTTGGCTCCGGGCGTGCATTTTTGTCGCAAGCTGGCCCAGCATGCTCCTCGATGGTTCTTGCCGAGAGAAAACCCACACGTCCGAGCGATGCCAAGACCTCAGCCTGAGGAGGAGGAGGAGGAGGAGGAGGAGGAGGAGAAGGAAGAGGAGGAGGAAGAGGAGGAGGCGGAGGAGGAGGAGGACGAGGAGGAGGAGGAGGGAGGAGGAGGAGGAGGAGGAGCATCTTCCTCTGCTGGCGGCCCTGCGGGAGGGAGCGGGCGTCGACGCGGGCGGGCCTCCCGGGCTGCCGCGCCAGAGGGCGGGCGGCGCCCCCCCCCCCCCCTCCCTCGCCCGAGGAGACCTGCTGCCATCTGGACCTCGGCCA